TGTTACAATCAAAACTGCAACAGTAGAGGCAAAAAGATAACAATGCCCTTGTTTCAGAATTAGTGTCCTTATTCACCCCTACACATTTATTACAGCCTTATCTCTACGTCTGTGGCATGAATTTAATCAAGGAAAAAGCATTTTAAAAGCCCTTTCCCATTTATCCATAGCTTCCTGTGCTTTGCGAGACCGATCATACAGGTGGTCACACAGGAAACCTGCAGGCAAGGCAAGGCAGTATCATCACAGCACTTGGCCCTCTGTACAATGCATTTGCATTGTGTGTATATAGCAGAGGGATCCCATTTTCATAATTCTGGGCATCTCTAGAAATTACTGTCTTGTTTTATGCTCTTTAGCAGCTATTGAACCAGCATTTCTACAGCAGATGGGTTTGAACAGCAAAATTGTCTCTTGACATTTTTTGGCAAGCACTCCCATAATTATTCCATGCAAACCTGAGGACATGAATGAGTCCATTTGTAAATTTCTTGTCAGCCTTTGCTCCTGACTTGCCTTCCTCTGCACAGCAGCAAGCCCTTGCTGTTCCCTGTCACCTTCTGGTCAACTAGCTGGGTAATTCAGTCATTATAGAGACCCTGCAGTTTTGCCCCTCTTACTAGAGCCTCCTACTTGCAGGTAGAGATGGCAAAAGGTCAGCTGGAAGAAGCAGCCCAAATCTACTTAGTGAGGACAAAGTATCCAAAGACTTAACTACCAAAATCAAGGTCTTTACTAGGACAAGGGAACTGTGATTTATCAAAGAATTCTAACTGGTGGAAATACAGGAAAATTAGTGGAATATGAGTGATAAACAGAAAAGGCCTCACAAAGGTTGACTGTCAATAATTTTTTTGAAGTCCCAGCTGAGAATCCTGGGAGTTAGAGGACACAAAGTGCACAGGCAGGGATGCACATCCTGGGGAGGTTATACGGATATGGCCTGGGAATGCAGGGAGGGGCATCGGGAAAGCCAAGGCACAGCTGGAGCTGAACTTGGCTAGAGACTTAAACAATAACACGAAGGGTTTCTTCAGGTGCACAGGGCAACAAAGGAAGATGAAAGAAATTGTACAACTGTACAAACCTGGCTACAACTGACATGGAGAAGGCTGGGTGTGTTGAGTTCATGTATGGCAGGGTTTTGGTAGCGGGGAAGGTGCTACAGGGGTGGCTCCTGTGAGAAGCTTCTTGAAGCTTCCCTGGCTCAAAGTTGGACCTGCCTCTGTCAAGACCGAATCAATTAGTGACTGTGGCTGCGCCTCTGTAATAACTTATTTAAGAAGGGGAACCTGGGAGGAGGAGGACTGAGGGAAATACCTCTGCAAACACGCAGGTCAGCTGAAGAAAGGAGGAGGAGGAGGAGGGGGAGGTACACTGGAGCAGAGACCCCCTGAAGCCCGTGGTGGGAGGGCAGGCTGTGCCCCTGCAGCCCACAAAGGTCACTGGTGGAGCAGATGCCCCCCTGCAGCTCATGGAGGACCCCACGTTGGAGCAGGGGGCTGTACCCAGAAAAGGCCGGGACTCTGGGAAGCCCATGCAGGCACAGGCTGTTGCTTGGAGGACTGCAGCCCACGGCAGGGACCCACGCTGGAGCAGTTTGTGGAGCTGCAGCCCTGTGGGAAGGACTCATGTCAGAGAAGATCACGGAGGACCTTCTCCCGTGAGAGGGACCCCACACCAGAGCAGTTCATCAAGAGCTGCAGCCTGTGGGAAGGACCCACGCTGGAGCAGTTCGTTAAGAGCTGCAGCCCTGTGGGAAGGACTCACGTCAGAGAAGTTCATGGAGGACTGTGTCCTGTGGGAGGGAGCCATGCTGGAGCAGGAAGAGCGTGAGGAGTCTTCCCCCTGAGGAGGAAGGAGCAGCAGAAACAATGGGTGTCGAACTGACCACAATCCTTGTCCCCTGCTCCCCTGTGCCACTGATGGGGAGGAGAAACTGGGAGCAAAGCTGAGCCTGGGAAGAATGGAGGGGTGTGGGAAAGGTGTTTTTAAGATGTGTTTGTATTTTTCACTGTCCGTTGGATTGGTAAATTAAGTGGTGATGGTGGTCAAATTAAACTGATGATTAAATTGATGGCAAGTTTGCTGACAACACCGGGCTGTGTGGTGGCTGACACGCTGGTGGGAAGGAATGCTATCCAGAGGGACCTGGACAGGCTGGAGAGGGGGGCCCGTGCAAACCAAACCTCATGAAGTTCAACAAGGCCAAGTGCAAGGTCCTGCCCATGGGTCGAGGCAATCCCAAGCACAAACCCAGGCTGGGCTCGATTGAGAGCAGCCCTGCGAAGAAGGACTTGGGGGTATTAATAGCTGGAAAACTGCCTGTGAGCCAGCGATGTGCACTCGCAGCCCAGAAAGCCACCTGTGCCCTGGGCTGCATCCAGAGCAGGGGGGGCAGCAGGGCCAGGGAGGGGATTCTCCCTCTCTGCTCCAGTCTGGGGAGACCCCCCTGCAGTGCTGGGGCCAGCTCGGGGGCCCCCAACAGCAGAAGGACACGGAGCTGCTCGAGTGGGGCCAGAGGAGGCCATGAAGATGCTCGAGGGGGCTGGAGCAGCTCCCCTGGGAGGCCAGGCTGAGAGAGTTGGGGGGGTTCAGCCTGGAGAAAAGAAGGCTCTGGGGAGACCTCAAAGTGGTGTTCCAGTGCTTAAAGGGGGTGCAGGAAAGATGAGGGGGGACTCTTTATCAGGCAGTAAAGGGATAGGATGAGGGGCAACAGTTTTTAACTGAAAGAACAGATTTGGATTAGATATTAGGAATAAATTCTTCCCTGTGCGGGCGGTGAGGCGCTGGCCCAGGGTGCCCGGAGAAGCTGTGGCTGCCCCTTCCCTGGAAGGGTTCAAGGCCAGGTTGGACAGGGCTGGGAGCACCCTGGGCTGGGGGAAGGGGGCCCTGCCTGGGGCAGGGCGGATGAGACTAGGTGATATTTAAGGCCCCTTCCAACCCAAACCATTCTATGATTCTATGACACCACAGTCTTGCCTCCTAAGGAGCCTGCATACAGAGGAAGGGGCCTACAAGCTACCTTGCTGACTCTTTGCCACAGGATCCCCTAGAACACCGAACTGACCCTGTCAGAACCTGTTAGGATAATTTTACCGTCTCTTTGTGCCTGCAGTCCCAGAGGAGTCATGTGACATTATATGCCTTAGTATTCTTCACAGTTTTTTTTCCCTGTTCAATATACCTCAGACCTTCCATTTAGCTTGTGCAGCCACTGTACTGGTCTTTCAGAAGGCCATTTCCAGAGCTATGCTACCAGTAATCAAAACATGAAAAATAAAACATTTAGGCTAGACATATATAGACAGCAGCTTTTAAAAAACAAAACTGTTTTATTTTGGGCATTGAAGCTTTTTCAATCACTAAATGTGTTAACTGCCCATGGGATATTTCTTATGAAAACACTGTAATCTTTAATTCTATAAAGCCCATTTATAGCATCTTCCACTTCAGGCTCTTAGAGTTTTTCAAATAAATGGCAAGTGCTTCTCCTTTTGCGGCACATTCAAGTGCGTAAGGACAGAGTTCACGTGGGGTTGAACAGAGGAACCTATTGCACTCTTTGGTGTTAGGCTGCACTATATGCATCTAATGCTCAAGTGGATCCCTAGGTATTATGTTACAGTTCCTGCTGAACAAAATGAAGAATAAAATAATTCACAGAATCTCTTACACCACTCTGAGAATAACTAAATGCCTCTACTTTATAGGTGAGGAATCTGAAGCTGGGACAAACTGGTCAGCCATGAGTCAGGCATACAGTGCCAGACACCACTCTGAGAGCTCTGCTTCTGGTGATGGGTTTCCTTCTCCTTTCCTGAGAAATCTCAAGTTTGAAACACTGACACTTAAAGTTAGGCCTAACAACTAGATATTAAGGGGGACTCCGATGGAATTTGCTGTTCAGGGTGGAGGACTCAAAATTCAGCCTTTGTCTGAACTAGTTTTGTTCTGATTTTGCCACTGCCCAGGGAACCGCTTTATAAAATGGAGTTAATCTGCAAATCCAGTACCCAATTATTGTTTTTTTTCTGCATGTTTCTGTGGTTAGAAAAAAACCTCAAACTCACATTTGTCTTCACTTTGTCCACAAAAAGGAGTCTATTTTTGCAGAAAATCTAACACCTTATCTCACCAGGTCTAATAGCAATACTTAGCTTTTCTAGTAGAGCGCCAAAAAGGTAATGACTGGAATTCTCGATACGTTTATTGTCATCAGCCTACCAATCTCTTCCAAGGATGTTGCTATCAGTCTTTAGAAGGATGGAGATGAGGAAGCTTCTGAAGAACCTGAAGAGCAGGGGTTTCTGTGGTCGTTGATTTGCATGACTGCCTCACTGACATTTGGGCTATGGAGAAGCGATGTGACAGCTTTCGCAGTTTACTCAGATATATAAACAGTTCCGATTTACTCAGTTTGGGCTGGAGCTTGTTTCCCGTAACATTATGGGATGCCCTTCCACTGAGGTTCCCAGCCTCGTGGCACACCAGCCCAACACGTCTTGTTGAGGGCTCGTTCTTCTGGGAAGGCATTTTGTCGGCCCGAGGTGTCAGCCTGAGGTGTGACTTCAAGTTCGGGGCCCTCAGGCCTTCCCTCGCTCCCGGCCTACCCGATTTTTCCACGGGAGAGCTCCCAAGCGCCGCGGCCCCGTGGGCTGCGGACGCTCCGTGCCGCCCGAGCTCTAGTCGGAGGACGAAGGCCCGTCACCCTCAGATACCGGGCGCTGAGGCGCCCTGACAGACCCCCGGGCCCCGCTGCCGGCGCGGTCAGCGACCGCCGGGGGCGATGGGGCGGCTCGGGGTGCCGCGGGAGCCCCTCCCAGGGCGCTGCTGCCACCGCCCGCTCCCGGTCCGGCCCGCCGCGCGGCCCCACCGCCGCCGCCGTTCCGCCGCTCCGCCGCGGCGTTGCCATGGAGGCCGGGCGCGCTGCGGCGGCGGGGCGGGGCGGGGCCTGCCGCAGACCCCGGCCCGGCAGCGCAGGCCTCCGCCGCGGGGAGGCGGCGGGGCGGGCGTCCGCCCTCAGCGTCGGCGCGCAGGAGGCTGGCAGGGCCGGTGCTGGGCGCTGGAGCTGCCGCCGCGGCGGGAAGATGGATGTGCCGCGCTCGTCCCTCGCCGCTCGTCATCCTCTCCTGGCCGCGGCACGGTGAGAGGGGTGGAGGGAGGTCGCCCGGGCCCCGCCGCGGCGGCGGCGGCACAATGACTTCGGCCGGCGGTGGTGGGCTGGGGCGAGGGCGACGGCGACGCGGGGGGCCGGGGCGGTGGCAAGGGAGCGATGGAGGTGAGCTGGAGATGGAGAGGAGGGGAAGCGAGCTGGGACAGGTGATGGAGAGGAGATGGAGGGAGAGGTGTGGCAGGACGCAGCCTGCAGCACCGTGCCGGGAGCCGCCTCAGCCGCTCTCTCGTCCCGCACTATTGTGTTCCAGGTTGGTCATTGTCTTGCCTTCTCCGTGCCGAGTGCGGTGTTCGGGGTGTGATGGCTGGGTACAAAGGAAGGGGTTTTTCCAGGGCTGTGCTGTGCGGAGACTGCAGCCGGCAGCGCCTGGGCTGGGCCTCAGTGAGATGGCATCTGGGGGTGGGCAGCCAGCGCGGCGGAGCAGCTGTAGAGGCACTCCCCTGGTTTATTTTTACTCGCGGTGCATCTTTCCATGTTCCATCATACACAGAGCATTGGGCAAGGTTTCTTGCCAAGCATGTCGCTTTAGCAGTGCACCTGTATGTGTCTTGGGGTGTCAGGGCTGGTGTGTTCGTGGATGTGTGTGTGAAGTCATTCTGCCTTGCAAACACTGACTGCTCAAGATGCATCTCTTTGTACGTGCAACACATGCCTTTTTTTGCACAGCCATTAACTGATGAAACGTGCCACCTGGGGTGACGTGCAATTTATTCTTAAATTACCGGACTGACGTCCCTCGATTTCATTATGGCTACTTAGAACAGATCTAGATCGAGCATTTGGGCTATCTTACGGCACTGGATACTCATTTGTAGTCTGTTTCTATTTTTTGCTGTGAATGTAGATATATAAAAGATGCTGAGTATACCTTATAGGCTGGGAACATAGAGAGGTATATATTTTAAAAGTTTAACTTAAGCTCTTGTAGGGAAAAAATGAATGAGATATTATTAAAAACATTTGCATTCTGATACTGTCCTACGCATCATTGTAAGGTGACATGTTATCGTCCCATTCTCAACGTCTCTTATTTGCAGGGTCAGATTCTGCACTGGTGCATATATCATGCCTGGTCTAGCAGTCTGGGTGCCCCACCAGGAGAATGGTTTGTCCCTTTTCAGGCAATAATGTGAGGTTTATTGCCTTCTGCTCTGGCTCAGGTTTTGTTTCTATTGATCTGGCCTGCTGCTCTACATACAAATTCCAAATGCAGGCCCGCTGTGATGTATATGCTAGCTTTGCTGTCACTTGACCAGATTCAGATTGGTGCCTGAGCGAGGTAAATATTTGGTGATTCCAAGAGGTTTTTGGGAAGTGGTTTTGATACTGGTGAAGTCTGAGAGTGGTTAGCTGGTAATTGTTAGAGAGTGTAAGACATGAGTGCTCTATAAGTAGTTCTGGAACAATCAAAAGATGCCATGGGCACCTCAATATAAGAAAGATATCAAACTATTAGAGTGTGTCTGGAGCAAGACAACCAAGATGGTGAAAGGTCTCGATGATAAGACTTATGAGGAGTGGCTGAGGTCACTTGGTTTGTTCTACCTGGAGGAGAGAAGGCTGAGGGGTGCCCTCATCGCAGCCTACAACTTCTTCAAGGGGGGGCATTGCGGGGCAGGTGATGATCTCTCTCTGATGACCAGTGATAGGACACAAGGAAATGGAATGAAGCTGCACCAGGGGAAGTTTGGGTTGGATATTAGGAAACGGTTCTTCACTGAGAGGGTGGTTGGTCACTGGAACAGGCTTCCCAGGGAAGTGGTCATGGCACAAATCCTGTCAGAATTCAAGGAACATCTGGATGATGCTCTTAGTCATGTGGTTTACTGTTAGGTAGTCCTGTGAAGAGCAGGGAGTTGGACTTGATGATCCTTATGGGTCCCTTCCAACATGAGATATTCTGTTATTCTAATCAAGTTAGTGGGATTGCAGCCACTTTCACCCTTGCTTCCACAATGAGCAAAATCCTGAGGAGGACTGTCAGGGCGGAAAGGCTGGAAAGTTTCTTTTGGGATTTCCATAGTAGTTACCTGGTGGAGGGGGCTGCCAGGAGCTGTTGATGTGACTCTTTGGCCGGGTCCCTTTCCCAGAACTGTGGCAATGTGGTAGACTGCTGGGATTCTCTGGATGTCAGCAGAGCTCCAGGCTGCCAGTGACAGATGCTGCAACCTTTCTGACTTGATCTTGGACTGACAGTTCTGTTTGTGCCTAAGGTAGAGAAACATGGCCCTCACCTCAGAGAGGAATCTGAGCCAGGCATTTCCACAGTGTCCACCCCAAGCCTAACTCCAGGCTCTGTGATACTGCAAATGCTAATGTATTGTCTCAGCCTTCCTTCCGATAACCTTGTCCCTGTCACCTTTCAGTGGCTTCTGATAATCCCTCTTCTTCCAAAAGCCATTCCCAGCTAAATAATCTTCTGAATAGGAACTTTTGTATCCTAAGTATTAGGAATTGAACATAAAGTACAGCTAAAACATTGGTTGTGTGTTAAGGAGGCGATTGGCTATTGTAATTTGTAAATGTATGCTGGGTTCTGGTAGACTTTTTGTTATCAAGACCTTAATGTAGCTGGAAAGATGCTGCATAATTCCTCTGTCATTATAAAGGAGAAGTGACCTCAGGGTATTCAAGTCAGGAAGATGCTGTGAAACATAACTGGCAAAATGATGCCCAGAATAGTTTCAAATTTTGATTTCTATTCATCCATTTGATAGACAGTTGATATTGTCGTTTAAAGGTGTATAAAAATAGTCCTCCAACTGTAAAAAAGGTATGATGGTGGTTTCTACTTGTCATAAGGCTGGTATAACTCAGGTGTTACTCGAGCAGTTGAAAGCCAAGTAGTTTGTTAATTATAACTTCTTTTTTCATCTCTTCTTTGTAACCAAACTATGGGACACTGAAAATGCTTACAACTTGGCTTTTGCTACTGAGTCATGGTAATTTTTCACTGTGGTCAATATTTGTGCTTTCTGTTTGCTTTGTGAAGTTGTGAGGCAGCAAAATAGTCCTTACCAGACATGTGGATTTTGAATCGCTTTCTAGTCAGTCATTCATTGTATCTTCTGGATTCCTTCAGATTTCTCTTTAATCTTTTTGCATGGCAATACAATATTTGGGTTACAAGTCTGCAAAACAAATGTTTTTGTTTTATAAAACAATTATACAATTATTTTACTTGAATTTACAATGGTGTGTTTGCATTATGTATTTCTAAATCAATAGCTTGCTCAAATTCCCAGCAGCTAACCTTTACAAAGTTCGTCTATAAATCTATATCACTTGAAGGTCTGGTCTTTACTAGATTATAACAAATTTGTCTTCCCATCCTCAGATATGGATTCTCTGCTGCCTTCTCTTTTGTAATTATCTACATCTGTGTCTGGATAGACGACAACTGCATTTCTAACTTTGGATGAAATATAACTCCGTGCTGAATAATAAAGCAAACTGAGAAAATTGTTTAGATATAAGAGCTGCTATGGTATGCCAGGTCTTCTTTTATGTTAAAAATGCTAATGCAAAGTATAATATTATCTCAGATTATTTTATCAAAAATAACAAAATTAATTATTTGAATTAATTGAGAACAGCTGATGCTAAAATGCATGTTGTCTCCCATTTTCACTTTATGCATTCCTTCCATCTCCACCTAGGAGGCAATACCTCGGTTACTGTTCAGCACCTGTATTCTATTTGTCAAGCTATTTGTTGAATTTTGTTGGAATTGTTTATTATAATATTCTTTTAAGTGTTTAGGGGAAAGACCTGTTAAACCTTACATTGCAGGGACTGTAAACTAAAGGTCTAAGTAATGTGGAAATTAAAACTGAAAAGAAGAAGAAACAGCTGTTGAAAATTGCATTGAGGTCCCAGGTGGTTTAAGGTAATCAATAATGAGAGAGCAAATAAAGTTGGGAGAAATAGTAGAATCAGGGCTTCTGGACTTTTTTTATTATTTCTTTTTTTTCCTGCATGTGCACAGGTTTGTTAAAATTCACTAAGTTGATTTTCTTTTAAAACAGATGCAGAAATATTCTTCATTATTAATTTTTATGGTGTATGCAAAATCCTAGAAATCTTATTGTTACAGCTGATAGAAATTAATCAGAATCAATACTGTATGGTTTTGCATGTATTTGGGGTAGGTTTGGTGTACAAATATTTTAGTGATGAATTTTAAAAGTACTTAAAATTGTATTAATACATAATATACACTTATTTTCATGAACGTGAATGTTACTTTTGTTCTTGAAATTCTGGTATTTGTAGAGAAGTCCTTAGTTTTTTAACTGTATTTATTTGTACTTAATATTTAAGGTTCTGCAAGCTGCTCTATATTGTCTCTGCATTGGTGAGGAACAAAATGAGATGCAGTCATTTTTGGAGAATGAGCTAGGAGAATCTACTTTAATTTAATACAATCCTTAGTAATATCCTTGTCTCATCTCCCATCTCTGATGGGGAAATTGTAATCACTTATAATCGATCTTAGATGAAGAAAGAGTATGTGGGGACTGTTGCACTTGAAGAACATAGTGATTTACAACTGAAATAACAATTGTGTTGGTTACAATTTAGTAGTTTATAATTAAGCAAAAGATTGCATTAATTTATTTGGAAATGCTTTTAAGAATGAACCTGTGAGTTCAGAGTGTGTCCAGTAAGACTTTCAGAGGCACAACTGATAGCTAATAAACATCCATGCATATCCAGTGGTATTACTGACCTAGTGGTATTCGGCCCATGTTTGCAAGGTTCTGTGTTAGCAGATCCCTTCTGAATTGCATCACATATTTTTGTAGGTCACAGCATGACCTACATGTTTTCATTTTCTTGGAATATGCAGTCGGTGTCAGTGATCTGTGTGGTAGCCTGTGCTAGGTGAACTCAATGAAGATGTAAGCATTGTCATTGGAAATTGAGTTGAAATTATATACTGTAGCTTAATGCCTATTAAATTCTCT